TTAATATTTTAAGTTTAAAATTTACAAATTTTTTAATATTTTTTTAAATCCGTTTTCTTTAAAGAAATAAAGGCTTCTCCTATTTTGAAGAAATATGCATATACATGTGTATAATTATTTTACACTTCTACCCATATGCACCGTATTTCAATATACTAATCTGACAATCTAAACAAATAGAATAAATCTAACTATTTTAAACTTTACAATGCCCATTAAATGTATTATTTCAATGATACAAAGTATGAACAAGTGTCAGACTTTTTCATTTTATACATATGTAATATGTACAAAACTGTGTTGCATGTTTCATTTCGTTGTAACAATACAAGTTTTTTAAAGTCAGCTTTTATAATTACACAGAAAATCGTACATTAAGATATTACTAACATCTTATAAAAAAACATGATTAGTTTGGACTGTTCCAACAAAAACGTAGACTAATGGATATAAAATTAGTTTTTAATTAGTAAATTATATTTTTAAATATAAGCACAGACGAGATACAGAATAGACCTAGCAACCTAATGTATTTTTGTGTCCAACGTTCTGAAATACCCATCATGTAAAAAATCGAAGGATTTGTTATGCCCTTTACGGTATCAAGCGGTGAAAGATGGTAAAGTCGACAGATATAAAAAATCATATTATAAGATAAGTGTATAAAATGTATTTTATAAAAGGTTACAATATACCAGTATTGTTTTACAGCACTTTACAGTCTATTTATTTCTCTTTTACACACCACGTCCATTTCCTTTTGCATAAATAAGATGTTAAAGGAATGAAAAATTGATTATAAGTATCAATTGAAGATAATAAATATGACGAGGATAGCAATAGCGAAGAGAGATAAGGAAAGGAATGAGGTTCGACAAGGACGGAAAATTTTTAAAAGTGAAACTAACGCCATCTCGCGTTTGGCTCCACGAACTAACGACTCGTTACTCGGAACACAGAATATGAATAGAGGTATTAAACAAGGAACGCACTAGTGTGCGAGAAGGATAGAGAGAAAACGTTTCCTATTGGTCCGCGGGCTGTAATGGCCGCCTCATAGACGCTAAATCAAGTCGGCCAGGGAAAAATCATTAAGAACTCATTAATTAGGATGATTTTGTGAACTTTTAGAACTGAAGAATGAAGTGTGAACTTTCAGAAACTTTCACATATAGTTTTTAATGCACTAGACCCTTGCAATAATTAGTTATTAACAATTATTGTGCGTAGTATCGGCAGCAGTACCGCACATAATTCTGGTTTTTCATTAATTTCGTAACTTTCTACTAAATTCTCATGAAACTAATTATATGCGTCTAAAAGGCAACTCTTTTAGCTACATTCTCATATAATTTTTATTAATACGTCCCTTGTGGTTTGATAGTTACTTAACATTCTTTGGGTGAGTATTACACCCGTCGCAATCAAGCGTAATAAATTTTCGTTATTTCAATAGACATGAGTAACTAATTATGCATTTTGAAGCATGTAGAACGTAGAATGGACTTTTATTTATATTCTGCAATTAGTTTGATAGCCGTAAGTGATCTGGTTTACTAGATATTAGCAATTGTTTACAACAGTTCACTATACACGAGTACGATGAATAGGGGACTCTCTCATATAATATTTAACAACTCTTGAACTAAACCGAATATGTTAATAAGAATTATAAAAGAATATAGCTAAAGGAGTTGCCTTTCAAACGCATATAGTTAGTTGTATGAGACTTTAGTAGAAAGCTATGAAATTATTGAAAAACCGTAAAGGTACTTGATTGTATGCGGTATCGTTCCCGACATCACCTACTAAAATTGTTAATAACTAATTATTAAAAGGATCTAGTGAATTAAAATCAATATGAGAAAGTTGTTAAAGGTCCACTCTTCATTCTTCAATTCTAAAAGTTCACAAAATCACCGTAATTGTTGAGTTATTCATGATTTTTCCCTGGCCGACTTTACTTAGGACCTGAATGGTGGACCTTAGATTCGTGCGGACCAATAGGAAACGTTTTCTCTCTATCCTTCTCGCACAGTAGTGCGTTCCTTGTCTAATACCTCTCTTCACATTCTGTGTTCTGAGTAACGAGTCGTTAGTTCGCGGAGCCAAACGCGAGATGGTGCTAGTTTCACTTTTAAAAATTTTCTGTTCTTGTCTATCCCTATTCCTTTCCTTGTCTTACTCATTTCCGTATTGCTAAATACAGTAAATTCTCTACAAGAGTCAGTAAGTTTGGATTCTACAAGTGACAGTATAGATGGTCATACGTCTAGGCTGCGTCATTGCTGCGCCCATGTTATCTCGTTTGCAGTCAGTCAAGCGTGTAACGCTACACCAGTCGATTTCCTTTACGAGATTTCACGGATCGACAAATCATAATAGAAAAATATAATTTCTTTAATTTT